GGTGGTTTAGATAGTTTAGATAGTTTGGATAGTTTAGATAGTTTAGATAGTTTAGATAGTTTAGGGGGTTGGGGGTTGGGTCTAAACTTAGATAGTTTCGATAGTTTAGATAGTTTAGATAGTTTAGATAGTTGGGGAGAGGCCTAAACTACCTAAACTATCTAAACTATCTAAACCGGGGGGGGGGGTAGATACTTTAGATACTTTAGATAGTTTAGATAGTTTAGATAGTTGGAATAGTTTAGCTAGTGTAGATAGTTTAGGTAGTTTAGGTAGTTTTGGGGGGCGGTTGGGTGCCGGGTGGGGCCCAAAACTACCTAAACTATCTAAACTATCTAAACTATCGAAACCAGGTGGGTTCAGATAGTTTAGATAGTTTAGATAGTGTAGATAGTTGGGGGAGAGAGGCCTCAACTACCTAAACTATCTAAACTATCTGAGGTGAGGTGGGGTGAGGATCGACCGAGGCACGAGCCTGGCCTAACAAAAGGGCGGCCCCTCCGGCACAAGGCTTAAGAGGCCAGCCCCAACAACACACGACACGACAACCACAAAACAAAAAGGAACAGCAACGCGAAACGAACGAGACAACGCAACGCTTTGCGGACCTCCATGGCGAGCTAATTTGCCCTCGCCCTGACCACCCAAAGGCTCACGTCCTTTACCGCTTCTACCTGCGCGAGCATCTCGATGAGGACCCTGTGAAGCTGCAGCAGAAAAACGAGGCGAAACCACGCGGGTAGAGGCCGGATGAACCAGGCGTCGACGGTGCTGGAGGGGGGCTTGATCCCGGCTCGCAATCAATAACCACTGATTCACTTCGCGACCTTACTTGGCTGACATTTCCTTCCCAATCCATGAGTCTTGAGTTGTACACCACGTGCTTCCCAATATCCAGCTTCTCTGCCTTGTGATGTTGTCCTCGAGTCTGCGCCCACGCAGCATACCAACGCGAGCACCGCTCGCACCGCTACCGCGTAGCGTACGCACCGCGAGCACCGCCCGCACTTCTACCACGCCGCCCACGGTCGTCACGTAAACTGCTATCCCCACGGCTCCGGCACCGCCGGTGTCTGCGGCCAGAGCGAGAGCGTCGGCGCCCGGGGTAGACCCTACCCCCGCCCTGCTCACGTCTCCCATCCCATCCCAAACTGCCACCATCCGTCTGTGCAACTGCCGGGTCCGCATCGCCCTGCTGCCAAAAAGTAGGCTCCGAGCTCCGAAACATAGTCGAATTTGAAAAGGGGCCCCACGGCCTGTTATTTCCAAGTATCGCAGAAAAAGTGAATCCTCTCCAGAAATAGACCTCCAGATGCTCAAAGACTGCAACGACCCCCAACCCACGATTGAGTTGCACCCAAAGTCCAAGGAATGCACACATAACATCATACACCGAGGCACTGTCGCACTAGCGCCACAGAGGGGGGAAGAAGGGGGTGCTCATCGAACCCTCAACCTGAGGATCTTAGTGCCGCCCCGGAGGTCCACCCAACTTCCAACTCCAGCCCCTCCGCAAGCCAGCGCTAGTCTCCGGGGTATCTAAACTATCTAAACCAACGGGGTTTAGATAGTTTAGATAGTTTAGATAGTTTAGATAGTTTAGGTAGTTTAGGTAGTTTTGGGGGGAGGTTGGGTCCCGGCAGGGGTCCCCCCAATACTAAATTACGAGCGCGGGCTTCCCCCAATACTAAATTACTAGCCCGGGCCTCCCCCCAATACTAAATTACGAGCCCGGGCCTCCCCCCAATACTAAATTACAAGCCCGGCCTCCCTCCAATACAAAATTACGAGCCCGGGCCCCCAATACTAGATTACGAGCCCGGGCCTCCCCCCAATACTAAATTACGAGCCCGAAACTATTCAAACTATTCAAACTATTCAAACTATTCAAACTATTCAAACAAACCAAACCAATCGCAAGCCCTGGCCCTTAATATTTTGGGCTAGTTTTTTGCGCCGAAGAATAAAATCGCAAGCCCTGGTCCCTAAGATTTTGGGCTCATTTTTTGCGCTAAAGAGTCAAATCGCAAGCCCTGGTCCCTAAGATTTTGGGCCCAATTTTTACTCCAAAGAGTCAAATCGCAAGCCCTGGCCCCTAAGATGTTGGGCTCATTTTTTGCGCTAAAGAGTCAAATCGCAAGCCCTGGTCCCTAAGATTTTGGGCCCAATTTTTCCTCCAAAGAGTCAAATCGCAAGCCCTGGTCCCTAAGATGTTGGGGTCATTTTTTGCGCTAAAGAGTCAAACAACACCGCCTGGTCCCTAAGATTTTGGGCTCGGTTTTTGCTCCAAAGAGTCTAATCGCAAGCCCTGGTCCCTAAGATTTTGGGTTCCATTTTTGCTCCAAGGAGTCAAATCGCAAGCCCTGGTCCCTAAGATTTTGGGGTCCATTTTTGCTCCAAGGAGTCAAATCGCAAGCCCTGGTCCCTAAGATTTTGGGCTCAGTTTTTGCCCAAGAGTGAAATCGCAAGCCCTGGTCCCTAAGATTTTGGTTTTTTTCCAAAGAGTCAAATCGCAAGCCCTGGTCCCTAAGATTTTGGGTTCATTTTTTTTTCCAAGAGTGAAATCGCAAGCCCTGGTCCCTAAGATTTTGGGCACAATTTTTGCTCCAAAGAGTCAAATCGCAAGCCCTGGTCCCTAAGATGTTGGGGTCATTTTTTGCGCTAAAGAGTCAAACAACACCCCCTGGTCCCTAAGATTTTGGGCTCGGTTTTGCTCCAAAGAGTCAAATCGCAAGCCCTGGTCCCTAAGATTTTGGGTTCCATTTTTGCTCCAAGGAGTCAAATCGCAAGCCCTGGTCCCTAAGATTTTGGGCTCAGTTTTTGCTCCCAAGAGTGAAATCGCAAGCCCTGGTCCCTAAGATTTTGGTTTTTTTCCAAAGAGTCAAATCGCAAGCCCTGGTCCCTAAGATTTTGGGTTCATTTTTTTTCCAAGAGTGAAATCGCAAGCCCTGGTCCCTAAGATTTTGGGCACAATTTTTGCTCCAAAGAGTCAAATCGCAAGCCCTGGTCAATAAGATGATGGGCTCATTTTTTGCGCTAAAGAGTCAAATCGCAAGCCCTGGTCCCTAAGATGTTGGGCTCATTTTTGGGCTAAAGAGTACAATCGCAAGCCCTGGTCCCTAAGATTTTGGGCACAATTTTTGCTCCAAAGAGTCAAATCGCAAGCCCTGGTCCTTAAGATTTTGGGCTCAATTTTCTCCAAGAGTGAAATCGCAAGCCCTGGTCCCTAAGATTTTGGGTTCAGTTTTTGCTCCAAAGAGTCAAATCGCAAGCCCTGGTCCCTAAGTTTTTGGGCTCAGTTTTTGTTCCAAAGAGTGAGGTCGCAAGCCCTGGTCCCCAAGCTTTTGGGGTCGATTTGTGTTCCAAAAAATCGAATCGCAAGCCCTGGTCCCTAAGATTTTGGGCACAGTTTTTGCTCCAAAGAGTCTAATCGCAAGCCCTGGTCCCTAAGATTTTGGGTTCCATTTTTGCTCCAAAGAGTCCAATCGCAAGCCCTGGCCCCTAAGATTTTGGGCTCAATTTTTGCTCCAAAGAGTAAATCGCAAGCCCTGGTCCCTAAGATTTTGGGGTCGATTTTTGCTCCAAAGAGTCAAATCGCAAGCCCTGGTCCCTGAGATGTTGGGCTCAAGTTTTGCTCCAAAGAGTCAAATCGCAAGCCCTGGTCCCTAAGTTTTTGGGCTCAGTTTTTGCTCCAAAGAGTGAGGTCGCAAGCCCTGGTCCCCAAGATTTTGGGGTCGATTTGTGCTCCAAAGAGTCAAATCGCAAGCCCTGGTTCTAAGATTTTGGGTTCCATTTTTGCTCCAAAGAGTCAAATCGCAAGCCCTGGTCCTTGAGATTTTGGGCTCAATTTTTGCTTTTCCCTTCTCTGCTTCTGCTGCTGTTTAATTGATAAAACACAAGAAAGGAACTCATATGATAAAGCAGTGGAAAGGTAAGCAGCGGGTGACTCCCTGCGCGTGGACCTTTCCATAATGCTCCATCATATTCCTCCTCTCGGCCTGTCTCTTCTGTTCCTTTCCTTACCCTTTTCCTTCTCATAGTTCTTCCTTTTTGTTTTTCTCTTTTCGAAAAGAAAGAGGGAGGGGAGAGACAAGGGAGAGAGGATAGATAAAGAAGAGTGCCATTTTCTCTGCGCCTTGTTTTGTCTCTCCCTCTTCTCCACTCAACTCTCTTCTATTCTTTTCATTGCTCTTCCCATTAAAAATGCAATCCTTTGTGTCTCTCCTCTCTCCTTCTCTCTCCCTCCAACGGGTGTCCTTTTGGATCGTTTTCTGCATCTTCAAGCGAGCAAAAAGGACACCCAAAAGAAAACACTGAGGGTGCCCCTTTTGCTCGTTTGAAGACACAGAAAGCGATTAAAAGGGACGCCCATTTTGGATTGGCAGCAAACCCAGCTGATGCTCGTGATTCTCTCTCTCCCTACATATGGGCGATCGAACGGGTGTCCTTTTTCAATCGTTTTCTGCATCTTAAAGGGAGGAAAAGGGACACCCGCAAGAAGGAAAAGCAACATAAGAGATAGGGAGGGAAATTGAAGAACTCCTCATTTTACTTAGTCATTCCCTTTCCTCTCTTCGTATCTGCTATTTTTCTTATTCGCTTCAAAAAGCAATATAAGGGAAAGGGGATTTCCTGAAGAGGAGAGAGGGAACCTATCTGTGAAGAGCAAGAATGGTTTTTTCTAATTCGGAAGGGAATAGGGAGAGACAAGGGAGAGATGATATGTACAGCTTTGCGCCTTATTTTGTGATTCCGTCTCCTTGCTTCCTGTCTCTTCTATTCCTTGCAGCACGCTTCCAGAAACATAGCATCCTCTTTATCTCTCCTCTCTCACTTCCCTTTCCCTTCTCTTCTTCTGCTTCCTTTTCATTGATAAAACACAAGAAAGGAACTCATATGATAAAGCAGTGGAAGGGTAAGCAGAGGGTGACTCCCTGCTCGTGGACCTTTCCATAATACTCCATCATATTCCTCCTCTCGGCCTGTCTCTTCTGTTCCTTTCCTTACCCTTTTCCTTCTCATAGTTCTTCCTTTTTGTTTTTCTCTTTTCGAAAAGAAAGAGGGAAGGGAGAGACAAGGGAGAGAGGATAGATAAAGAAGAGTGCCATTTTCTCTGCGCCTTGTTTTGTCTCTTTTCTTTGCTCTTCCCATCAAAAAGGCAATCCTTTTTATCCCTCCTCTCTCCTTCTCTCTCCTTCCTCTTCTCCTGTTCCCCTCTAAACGACAAAAACGCAAGAAAGGAAGAATAAGAGGGGGGCCCTGTTCCTCTCTTCTCCTCTTTCAATGGTTGGGGGAGGTGGGCGGAGTTGGCTCCTTGCCCGTAAACCCTCCCCAGGCTTCAGCAAACCTCTCCTCTCGCCCTATCGCCTCTGTTCTTTTCCTAGTGCCCAAACAGAGAACGAAAACGGGTTCCTTTACATGTTCATTGTCCTTCCCTTTGCTTTTATTTCAAAGGGAAAAGAACCAGAAAAGAGAAAGATAAGAACGAGAGGCAAGATGAACCCGGCACCATCTTGTCTTTGCCTTATTTTTGCACCTCCCTCTCCTGTCTTCATTTCTCTTCCATTCTTTTTATTGCTCTTCCCATTAATATTGCATTCCTTTTGATAACTCCTCCCTCTTTTCTCTCCCTTCTCTTCTCTTATTCTCCTTTAAATCTCAAAAACACACAGAAGGAAGCTTCTTTCCCTTTTTGAACGAAAAGAAAAAGAAGAAAAAGGATAGGGAAGAACATTGACGAGCTCCACTGCCTACTGTTTCATTCCCTGTCCTCTCTTTCTATGTGTTTTTTAACTTGTCGTTTCAGAAAGGCAAGCAAAATAAGGGCAAGGGAGGCTTCCTGAAGAGGAGAGAGGGAACCTATCTGCGAAGAGCAAGAACAGTCTTGTCTTTTTAATTTGGAGGGAAAAGGGAGAGACAAGGAAGGGAGAGATGATAGACAAAGACGAGTGCCATCTTCTTTGCGCCTTGTTGTGTTCCTTCGTCTCTTTCTTTCTTGTCTCTTCCCTTCTTTTCAGAACCCTTCCAGAAAATTAAAATGGCCTCCTCGTTGTCTCTCCTCTCTCACTTCCCTTTCCCTTCTTCTGCTTCCTTTTAACTGATAAAACACAAGAAAAATGATAAAGAAGTGGAAGGGTAAGCAGCGGGTGACTCCTTGCGCATGGACCACTCCATAATACTTCATCATAATCCTCCTCTCGACCTATCTCTTCTGTTCCTTCCTTACCCTTCTCCTTCTCATAGTTCTTCCTTTTTGTTTTTCTCTTTTCGAAAAGAAAGAGGGAAGTGAGAGACAAGGGAGAGAGGATAGATAAAGAAGAGTGCCATTTTCTCTGCGCCTTGTTTTGTCTCTCCCTCTTCTCTACTCATCTCTCTTCTATTCTTTTCTTTGCTCTTCCCATTAAAAATGCAATCCCTTTTAGCTATCCTCTCTCCTTCTCTCTCCCTCCTCTTCTCTTATAAAAAAGCGCATTCGGTTCGAGGTTTCGGGTTCGAGGTTCAGGGTTTAGCATTCTGGGTTCATTAGGGGTTAGGCCCTATAGACCCTAAACCCGATGAGTCCTGAGCCTACACCCTAAACCCTAAACCCTAAACCTTCAGTAGTATAGAATAGTATTAACACAAAGAGGACATGCCTAATAATACATAAAGGTTCCTCTTACATATATATATATATATTATATACCCCAGAAGGTTACGTATTCAACTACTAAGTGAAGGACATCGATCTCTCAGTTTGCCCACAGGGCCTTCCCGGACGCCACATTAAGCAGTGGTAGGTTTTCGCGGGGGAACAGGAGGAGGGAAGAATAGGGTCGGGCATAAGGCAGGGGTGCCTCCTAAGCCCTTACATTTTCATCATGGTGCTGACGGTTATCATGGAGGACGTTGATTATGCTATACTTAGTCAAGGAGTGGCCACGAGCACGTGGTCCATCGGAAAGTCTACATACGATCTCGAATATTCTGATGACACGCTCCTAATTTTTCTGACCACAACGCAAATGCAAACAATACTAAGCGCCATTGAAACTCAGGCGGCTTTTTATGGTATGAGCCTCAACCAAGAAAAGCGGAACTGTTGATTGCTCCTGAGAAAGCCCCCAATCACACTACGGTTCCTAGGGGGAGACGACCACAACGCAAATCCAAATATCTAGGATCGATGATTGCCTGGGATAAATCTTTCGAAACCGCCCTCAGACATCGTGCAGGTGTTGCTGAGTCTTCCTAGAAACAGCTCAGGCTGATTTGGAATAGTAGGCTCAGCCGCAGAGAGAAGCTCAAAAGTTTTCCAACTTGTCTTCAGATCCACGCTCGTGTACGGATTAGACTCTACTACTCTTACAGAAAAACAACTTCGCAAGATCGATGCGTATTATTGCCGATTCTTACGCAGAATTATCAATATTGAAGCCTCCTTCTACTCTCGAGCCCCCAACTCCGAAGTCTGGCAAAAAGCTGGTTACCCACAACGCCCCTCAGACATCCTTTGTAAGCTGCAGTACAAGAGGGTGTCGCAAGTGTTCCATGCCAATCCCCAGGACCCACTGCATCATGTCGTCGTTAGCCCGGGATTCAAAGATAGAACTCAAGCTCTGGGCAGACGTACAGGGATGAAGATGCCTTACTGGATGGAAAATACTACTAAATGCTTCTTCCAAGCACTCTGGAACCACAACCCTGGACGCGGAATCCTCGGCCCTAAAGGTGTACGCTAGCATAAATAGGGCAATGAAGAGACCCGCAGAGCAGGCGCCAACGCGCGCAAGCATCCCGCGCGCACGGCTCTAGCAAAAAAGACCCTAAACCCGAAACCCTAAACCCTAAACCCTTGTTGGGGGGTCTTGCAACGCCCACTCCCCTAAACCCTAAACCCTAAACCCTAAACCCTAAACCCTAAACCCTATACCCCAAAACCCTTGCAAACTCTGGGCGCTGACGGCCTTGAAGCACCTCTAAGATGCGAAGTTGTGAGCCCAAGAACTTACTTCTTCAATAACCAAGGGGAGAAAGGTTAAACTTTATGATTCCTACTGAATAAGGAAACCCCAAAAGCTTAAAGTTCAGGTATTGGCTAAGTACGTGATTCGAGCACACATTGAAACCAGGTCCGGAACCCTAATAGCCCAAGCCCTGAACCCTAAACCAAGGCAACCCTAAACCCTAAACCCTAGACCGTAGACCCTAGACCCTAAACCCTAGACCAACTACCCATGGTGCAGTGGCTAGGGTCTGAACTGGTGGGGCCGCCCTAAGTCAGACCTTCGTACACAGGGGATTCCTACACCCTGGGACCCAAACCTTGTACAGGCCGGTTCTTTTGCACGACCCTGCGTGTCAACATTAAACGGAATATGACTATACACATTAGAACTTGTGTATACACATCTGACAAAAATATCCACCTTTGTATATACACCTATTTAGATATAACTTGGCTAAATGTAAAAAGAAATATAAATCTATCTGTACATATATACATATGTATCCGAACAAACTCAGTCTAGCCTCATCCTCCATGGTTGCATCGGCCTCCGCCTGCAGCAAAGCACTTGGAACTACTCTACCAGTGCAGTCTGAGGAAGAGGGGGTTTAGCGTTTAGGGTTTAGGGTTGAGGGTTTAGGGGGGTTTAAAGTTTGGTGGGGTTTCGGGTGTTAGGGCAGGATTCTAGGGCTTCTGGAGGCTGAGGGTTTTGGAACGTTTTCGGTTGTATCCGGGTTTTGGGGGTTATAGGGCTCAGGGCTTCAGTGTTACATGGCTTGTTGCGCTCTTCGGGATGTGCAACAAGGCACCGCTGATTCCTATGGCAGCCGGTTTCTTGGGTCCGGGTTGAGGGCCCAGTATGTGGCTTTGGGCTGTCACTGTCTCCTGTTGCAGCCCAGGCACCATGTCGCCCACTTGGGACAGCCACTGGGAGCTCGGATGCTGGTAGTGGCAAGTGGCAACTAATGCCAGACACTGGCATATGCTTGCGTATGCCTTTGTTATGCTCTTGCGAACGCATGCTTCAGTCCATGAATTTGGAGCCTGGCAAGGCTCGATAGCCATCTGCAGGAAAGGTAAGTCTTGCTGCGGCGAGGGCCATTCGTATGCTTTCAACTGTAAAACCAGTCGCTACCGGCATGGAGCTCATGAGATCTGCTCGACCAGTTGATCTGAGGCCACAGGCGAGTGAGGCCAAGGAATCGGCAGCGTGGCGATGCTGAGCGGTTTAGGGTTTATGGGTTTAGGGTTTAGGGTTTAGTTCCAACAACTCAGCACGGCACGATCCAGGCATCTAAACTTGGAGCTGCCCTTTTTTTCTTCTCGCAGCACCTCCTTCAAGCGATCCAGACTGGGGAAGTTGAGAGGCCCACACCTGTCTGCAGATAACAACACGGAAGCTCGTAGTGCATGTCACGAATCTTGCATTTGTCAATCGCCTCGCGGTCGGCATGTTTGGTGGACAGGACGCATGAGCGTCGATTTGGGGACTAGAGTTTAGGAGTGCAGCAAACTCACTTTGAGGCTCCCACCGTAGTGCACTAAAAGGAATGGATTGCCTCACCACGCACGGGCGATTTGGCGGAATGGCAAAGGATTTAGAGGGAGAGTTGGCTTTACTTTTTAACGGTCCTGAGTCAGGAACTATAAGTGAACCCAGTTGTCCAGTAACCTGGGGGAACTAAAGGTTAAGCTTTGGGATTATAAGGGGATTCTACTACCCCAAAAAGGCCAAAGGGTGGCTACTCTACTACCAGGTGAATGGGGTTTAGGGTTTAGGGTTTAGGGTTTAGGGAGACCAGGTCAAGATTCCTTGGTAGACCAGTAACCACATTGCAATAAGGGCACCCTTTTTTGGGTTGGCTACTTTTTGAGGGAACCAGACCCAAAAAAAAAACGTAAAGGGTACCACCGGGCTACTAAGGCAAGAATAAACAAAGGGTACCAAAACACCAAAACCAAAAAGGTAAAGGGCACCACTGGGCTACTAAGACAAGAAGACAAAAAGGAACCAGAAAACCAAAACCAAAAAGGTAAAGGGTACCACCGGGCTACCAAGATTCGAAGAGAACCTTCTACCCCGGCGCTGGGTGCATGGCGACCCAGCTCCGCGCGTGGAGGTGCAGGAGAGGTTGGAAGCCTGTGCCGATGGGTTTAGGGTTTAGGGTTTAGCGTTTAGGGTTTAGGGGTTAGGGTGGCAGCGATACGGCTTTGAGTCTTTGAGTCTTTGTGGAACGGTAATCTGCAAATCTTGGGATGTTCCCCCAAATCCGAACAATCCTTAATAGGGATTATAGTACCCTCGATTACAATCCATATTAAGGACTGTTAGTATAATGGGGTTTACATCCCAATGCATACCTAAGTATAAAGAAGGGGAGTGGGGCCGCATAGAAAGGGCCTGTTCTCTTCCTCAAGGTAAGAGTAGGCTTCTCTAGTCTAGGTCTATACTCCCCTTAGTACCTTAATAACAAAAACTATGTTTAAAATTCTCTTGGGTTTGTTCTAAATAAAAGCAACAACAGACTCCTAAGGAGGCCATAGAGGGGCTCTTGGTTCGTGGCTTTCGTCGGCTTTTCCCAACATTGTTCAGAAGTGGCAGGGAGAGCAGGGGGACAGATCGCCCAGTTTCCCCCAAAACCCAAAACCCAAAACCCCAAACCCAAAACCCAAAACCCAAAACCCCCAAACCCATCCAAGGCCCCTCTAAAGACCAGTCCTACACCCTGTACCAGTACAACCTGGTTTGGATCTTCACGTCTATGGTTGAGTGGTGCTCGGTTTGCTTAACGATGTTTGCAAGTTTACGGTGGCCTGGTCTTCCTGTAAATCGCACCGCTGCAAGGCGTCTGCCTGCAAGGGATCAGATCAAGAGAGCAGAAGCACTGCAGACCACACCCAATACGGGGGTTCCGAGATTAGGGTACCATATTGGGGTCCTTGTGTTAGGGGCCCCCCCCCCCCCATTTTCGTAAACTTGCCACAGAGACCTAACTTGAACAATTAGGTTCCGAGAGCCCTGAAGGAAACAATAACTAGGTCCCTGGGGGTAGAGGGCTACCTGGAGCAACCTGCTTATCTTCAAACAAGGGACATGGGCCCAACAATTATGGCATGCTCCACATTGGCATATGGTCTACTGTAGGGTAGACTAAACCCTAAAACCCTAAAATCCCTAGAAAACCTAAAAAAACCCAAAACCCCTAATTAAACACAAACCCTAAACCCTAAACCCCAAACCCCAAACCCAAAACCCCAAACCCCAAACCCTAAACCCCAAACCCTAAACCCTAATACCCTAAGACACATTCAAAACCCCTCGTGTGCCCCCCTGCCCCCCCGCCTCCCCTGTGTCTTCCCCCCCCCCACCCCATGCCCCGCCCCCGCTGCCCCCCCCCCCCCCCCCCCAAGCCTAAACCCTAAACCCTAAACCCTAAACCCTAAACCCTAAACCCCCCCCAGGCGCTTCAAGGAGCTGCCAGAGCCGGTCCTTTGCCTGGGACCTGGGAGTCTTTAGGGTTTAGGGTTTGGGGTTTGGGGTTTGGGGTTTAGGGTTTAGGGTTTAGGGGTTTAGGGTTTAGGGTCTCCGCCATTCTTCTTTCGAGGGGGCTTTCGGAGGGATTAGGAGGGCTTATAGGGTTCAGGGTTAAGGGTTAAGGCTAAACCCTAAACCCTAAACCCTAAACCCTAAACCCTTAGAGGAAGTAGGAGGGCTTGTAGGGTTTTTGGGTTTAGGGTTTTAGGGGTCGTCGAGGGGTTCTTCTGAATGGGGTTGCAAGGGGGGTTGTTAGTTGTTAGGGACTGTGAGAGGTTCACCTGCAGGGTTTCTACGGGGCTGAGGGAAAATTGAAAGTTGTGTGCGGGCTGTCGGGCTTCAGGGCTTTAGGGGCTAGGGGGGCTTTGGGGCTTAAGGGCTTGGATTTGAGGGATTTCGAGTCTCAGCGGCGTTGGACCGATCCACTCCTCTAATGTCTACCAGGGGCTTAGGTGGCCTGTGCATTCAGAAGATGGTTGGCATCGGATAATTGCATTCCATTGATCTTTGAGCTGACCCACCCTACACTCTAGTTGTCCAGGAACCTGGGGGAATTAAAGGTTAACCTTTGGGATCATAAGGGGATGATACTACCCCAACAAGGTTAAAGGTTTCCTACTATACTACTAGGACACTCTCAGCGCTGCGCGCATGCGCGAAGAGAGAGCGCCCATCCTCATCCTGCCTGCCAGCAGCGGGAAGGTTGGCAAGGGCCCTTGCTGCAAGAGTGTGAGTGTAAGGATGGTTGCATGGGGTCCCTTAATCTGGGCCCTTGAAAAGGGACCCAGTATATACCCCTTTCCCATTCTAAGACCTCTACAACCCAAGGGTCTGTACTTCAGATACTTCAGAACCCTTTCAGGAAGGAAAGGGACCATATTAAGGTATGAAGGGGGCCGTAGGTTTAGGGTTTAGGGTTTAGGGTTAAGGGTTAAGGGTTAAGGGTTTAGGGTTTAGGGTTTAGGGTTTAGGGGTAGAACTGCGCTTAGATTGAGGGGTCTCCAAGCCGACTAGGTCCTCCGAGAGTCGCCATACTTGTAGACCCGATACGACTACTTGGAGGTTCATGGGTTTAGGGTTTAGGGTTTAGGGTTTAGGGTTTGGGGTTATAAGTACCCTTAACATAAGGTTACAACCGTAGACCATCGTTGCCCTATGTATAGCCCTACCTATAGGTAATCATGAACCTTTCATGAACCTTCAACTGCCCATGAACCCCTTCAAAAAGCAATCAAACGCAGTTTCTGTGCGGAGTACGCTGAGGCCGGAGCTGAACGAGCCCAGCGTAGTCACCCCCAGTGGTGACAAGCACGCCAGGAGAGGAGCCCTCAAGGATCAAAGCTGGATCATGAGGCTTTCGGAATGGGGTTAGGGTTTAGGGTTTAGGGTTTAGGGTTTAGGGTTTAGGGTTTAGGGTTTAGGGTTTAGGATTTAGGATTTAGGGTTTAGGATCTAAGGGGCTTAGGGACTTCAGGGCTTCGGGACTTCGGGACCTACTGAGCAGAGGCTAGACGGTGCATGGCTCTGAAATCCTAAGCCCGCTGAGTACGCCGGGGTGTAGGAGTGAGACTGAGGGCATGGAGCAATCACGAAGGCTCCTTGCAGGCGACTGAGCATGTGCAACTCGACAGGCTTTGGGTTTAGGGTTTAGGGTTTAGGGTTTAGGGTTTAGGGTTTAGGGGTTTTTGTTCAGGGTTTAGGGTCTACATAGGGTTTAGGGGTTAGGGGCCCTCATGCTGGCGTTTAGCGTCCTCAGTGCTTTAGAGTGCTTGCGGGTCAAGCGCCTGCAGGCTTACGAAACCCTAAACCCTAAACCCTAAACCCTAAACCCTAAACCCTAAACCCTAAACCCTAAACCCTAAACCCTAAACCCTAAACCCTAAACCCTAAACCGCCTGCAGGCTTACGAAACCTTCAGCTGCTGAGATCCTTGCCACAAATCGGAACTTCACGCCCAAGAGCCGGAAGGCCATCTGGTAGACATCCTGGGCAAGAGGCAGGGTTTAGGGTTTAGGGTTTAGGGTTTAGGGTTTAGGGTTTAGGGTTTAGGGTTTAGGGTTTGGGGTTTGGGGTTTAGGGTTTAGGGTTTAACTAGGGTTTAGGGTTTGGGTTTTAGGGTCAACTATTCCGTGAACTGGCTGCAACCCCTTCGGTTGACAGCATGTCCTAGCATCCTAACAACTACCGCAGGGAACTGAAGAGGGTTTAGGGTTTAGGGTTTAGGGTTTAGGGTTTAGGGTCTAGGGTTTAGGGAGGCGTGCCGGGGGAGTCTTGAACATTCTTGCACACTGCGGCTGGCTCTTCTCTCTATCAGTCTATCTATCCATGATGTGGGTTCCCTCTTGGGGACCCTGGGGGGTTCCTAATTATATAGATAAGGGGCCTCATATTCAGGGTACCCAACAGGGTATGTGATTGAGATACCCCTAAACCCTAAACCCTAAACCCTAAACCCTAAACCCTAAACCCTGATACAACCCTGCACTGAAACCCCATCCCGCTTAGCTCCTTGTCGCCGTAGCCGCACATCAGCTGCCCCTGCTGTCCGTAGATGCCCTTGCCATGGGTGCATGGGCTTAGGGTTTCGGGTTTCGTAGGCAGGGTCATGGGGTCCTGTACTTCCCCAAGCCTCACAACCCAAAATAAGGCCCAAGTAACCCCTGAATTAAACCGCATCTGGGCCTTCTTCGGAGGCGGCGGGGTGCCTAGTTCGGGTGAGGTGATTGCTTGAGATCCCATAACGCAGGTTTACCTGTGTAAGGTGTGAGGGATGTTGGTGACTTGAAGACTTTACTGGCTCGGGGCCTTGCAAGGGGTCGAAACGACATACCCTTAAACGCAGGTGCCCTAAATGCTAACACAGGCATGCTCGAGGAGAAGCCGCCTCCAGGTAAAGGTCGGGGCGCACGGCCAACAGCGTGGCAAGTAGCAAAGCCTGCCGGACCTGACAGCTGCAAACCTCCCTGGGGCCAAAATGAACCCTAAACGGATATGTGGTCTTACACTTCAGACTACCAATTGCTTAAGAACCCCCCACAAAAAAAAAAATATATATATATATATACATATATATTCTTCCTTATAAGGGTAATATAGTGATTATTATTATTATTGATTCTTTGGGGGTTCTCAAGCAAATAGTCGATTCAATAGGGGTGATAGTCCGATGTGGGAAGGTTCACTCAGTCCTGAAGGTTTCTGATAGGCTCGCTAGCTGGCGGTCCCTGGGCCGTTTCATCGACCACTGCGGGGAGGAGCGCGGAAGCTATCAGAGTACAGAGCCTCGACGGTCTTTCTCAGCAGAAGTTGACCACTCTCCTGCCGCAGAAACCACCGCCAGGCATCGCAAATGTCTCTAGCCTTCGAGATATCATGGGTGAACCCCGATATCCTAAGCTTCCGCACCCTCCCCCGCACTTTTTGGCACCTGATTACCATATGACATCTGGACCCTCAACTTTAAATCCCAAACCCCCTTAACCCTACACCCGCAGGTGCAAGTTGGCAACGCAGGTCCTGTGATCTTGCAGGTGAAAAGGCTGACCAGAGCTCAGTCCTCATCACAGTGCCACTCACAGGCTGTCACAGGCCAACTACCACCACCGGCTAAGGCCGAAACAACTGTACGCCCCCCTATACACGAAAACTTGAACCCTGAACCCTACCTTACTAGAGAGGGTTTTTGTTTCGAGGCTCAGGCTCCACTTGCGGCCTGACAAAGTTTCGGGTTTAGGGTTCCGACTTCACCCCGACATCTTGGAGTCTTGGGTTTAGGGTTTAGGGTTTCGGGCTTAGGGCTAGGGTTTACAGGGTTGGCTTGGGGTTTAGAACTTAGGCTTTTGAGTTCACCTCACCTACCCCCCCCCCCCCCCCAACTACCCTTTGACCATAAACGTAGTGTATATAAGCCCCCATGTATAAAAGGTTAGTTGCCGGGGGTGCAGGTACAGAGTTTAGGGTTGGGGGCGCAGCCCTAAACCCTAAACCCAGTGAGTGTTTATGAAGTGTCGCGTCCTGGGCGCAGACCAAAAGTCCGGCCAGAACAGAGCCTGGGGCGCAATCGTTGCAGCGACGAAGGCCCCCAAACAAACACTTATCTGCGAATAGATTAATGTATACACAGACACGTGCATATTTGCATGTTGCATTATATGTATATATATATATGTGCATGTATGTGTACATATGAGGTATATACACAGATTGGTGTGTGCGGGCGGTCACCGCCCCCTGCATTGTTGCGAGTTCATGACTCGTGTCGCACTTTTGTATGAAACTTGGTGGCCCAGTAACCATATCATAAGAAGGGTACCCTTTTTAGGGTTAGTTATACTTTCTCAGGGAACCTTGAGCCAAAACAAGGGAAAAGGGTACCACTGGGCTACTAAGGAAACAAGGTGCACCCAAAAGAACCACAACCAAACCAAAGCTGTCATAAGATCACGAACGTTACGTTACGGGGGCGAGGCGGAGAGTTAGCACATATGGTAGCGACCTGTGGAGAATCCTGGGAAAAAAGGGTCGCGGGGGGGGGGGGGGGGGGGGGGGGGGGGGGGGGGGTTTGGGTCAGTGGCTTTTCAAACTTATTCTTTGACTCCAACTGGCTGGGGGTTTCAGAGCCTTCAAGTCCTTAACCTTGATTCTTTGACTGAAATGCCAAGGATTTCGAAACTCGTGAGTCCCCAGGTCGAAGCAGTCTGAAAGATTGGAGAGTCCAGAAGTCTACCAGGCCAGTCCAAGATTCCCACATGTTCAGCCTCGGAATTCCGAAGCTCTAAAACCTCCAGGAGTATGAGGCTGGGAGTCCAAAACTTATTCGGCATGTTAGGCACAGACATGCAAAGCTCAAACTTTCGGAGCTGTCCACCTGTGGGACATTGGAATTTCTAACTTGTGAGCACACACCTTCAAAATCCAAAAACCCCATGTTTTGCGACTTTGGAGTTCTGAGCCCAAACCCTTTGGCACTTTGGAGAACTGAACCCGTAATGCATAAACCTCAAAACCCAAACTCCCAAATCCCATTCCACATTCCGTCCAATTCTTGTGAGTTCTGGATGCCGAGACCAAAACATTGGCAGTTCGGAATCCTGAGCCCAAACCATTGGATTTTGGGAATTGTGGAGTTTCGAGCTGAAAAGTTTGGTTGTTAGAATTTTGGGCACCCCACCTATGTCCCTCCATGACAGTAATGACGGCAGGCGGGGGAGGTGGACGGTATATATGTCTGTACTATATCAGCACGCAAAAGGTTAAACATGTACGTATGCATGCGTACATGCATATGGGTGGCTGTCAAAATTCTGGTCCCTTTTTTGTGTACCCTAAACATTAGGTGCCGAATTATGAGAGGGATCCAAGGGACAATAATTTTGACAACCACCCATATGTACTTATGTGTTTGTTTGTATTCAGTTTGGACTGAGAGCCCCCGAGGCGTTACATGAACCATTCCGTGTAGAAACTGTGAAACAGATGCTCACTGTTTCGCGATGCAGAGTGCGGCTGGTAGTATGGTATACGAGCGGGTCACAAGCCGTTTGACGTTGTGAAATTTAGCACGTCACGATCGCTGGTGGAAGTCGTGAAGCAGCTGCTGCTGCATCGACTGGTAGTAGGCAACAACAAGACCAAGGGGCGGGAATCTCATCCAAGGACTTAAGCAGCTCCTGCAAGCAGACGAATGTTCGGGAGACCTTTCAATCTGATGTCTCAGCGCCATGGAGCCCGACCAATGTGTTGCAATACGTGCCTGTGCGCTCTCGCATGCAGCGTGGTCTGATGGGGTGTGTGGCACTTAGCCTAGGATGGCCCTTATAAAGCCCCTGTTTAAAAGATTCCTAGATATGATCCTCTTAAACACCCAACAAGAACAAACATGAAGTATCCCAGGGGCCTACCGAGTAGTACAACCCAGGAGGCTCCTGCGGTGAGCGCAGCGGAGCGTTGTCGGCATCCAAGACCAAGCAAGGGTCCTGGTGTTCATCCGATTTCGACTTTTCCAAGGCCAGGCAGGGTGAGGACTGAACAGCTGGCATCCAGAACCCCCCCCCCGCCAAGGCCCCAGAAAACCGAAAACTGAACTTTTAACAGCTGGGCCAAGGCGTGGGCGCAATCACTCAGAGCAAGGACGACAGGCTTCAGCGCGTAGGCCTTCAGCCTGCAAGCGCTTCACGCATGAGGTCTTGAGGTTTTTGGGTCTCGCGGTTTAGGGTGTGTTTGTAAGGCCTTCGGCTGTAGCGGGTCTGGGGAATAGCTATCATTACACTTACAAAGTAAGGAAACCAAAGAGGCTTGCAGTTCATCTATTGGCTTGCTGTCTGCACAGTTGCAACTAACACACAGCTGTCCCGGCCTGGACACAGCTTCGGGATTCTGCCGGTGGTGAAAAGCAAAATGCGCTTGCCACCTCCACAATCGCGGGGGAGAAGGGGAGTACCGGTGCCATAGGGTGCATGGCCCTCCAAGCGTGGACACGCAAAAGATTGTGCCAAAGCCACTCTTTCAGTTAGATCTGAGGGTTTCCGAAATTACGGGTACCCAACTGATTGGGGTCCTTATGATAGGGGGATCCTACTACTTGGGGGAGGTCTATCTTAGGGATCCCTTATTTTCGTAAACCCCATATTCGCTTTGCAGCGAACCTCCAGAAAGGATGGTCTCTTGCGAGCTCTCCCTGCGACCGGACAGGCAAGGATGCAAGCAGGCAGCGTAGCAATACGTTTGGGGTTTAGGGTTTAGGGTTTAGGGTTTAGGGACTCCACGACTCCTAATTACGAAAACCCCCTCTTCACTTGCCCCTTGGCCCAGAAGGGCTTCCCACCCGACTTTCACCCACAAGAGCTATGAAGTCCCCATGAACCCATGAACAAGTCAATCAAGGCCTCTCAACTCATCCATCCTCCCCCCACACGAACCCAACTCAACAGCCGAACCCAAACCCCAAACCCTAGCCCTAAACCCCTGCTTCAGGGCTCATGGGTAGCCATTTGCATAAGTCAACGTACTCCAAATCTGGTGACACCTTCACAGTCCATGAACCTGCATATCCTAACCCTGAATGCTTAAAAACCCCTCAACCCTAAACCCTCAACCCCAAAACCCTGAAACACCTAAACCCGCAACTAACTAGGCCCTTAACCCTAAAACCCTAACCCCTGAACCCTAAACCGTTATATCCCTAAACCCCCAGAACCTCTAAACCCTAAACCCTTATATCCCTAAACCCTAAACCCTAAACCCTCAACCCTAAACCCTAAACCCGAAACCCTGCCTGCGGGGCGGGAACCACCCTCAGCGTCGCCCCGAGCGCCTTCAGGCGCTCGGAGGCCCAGGGCTCCAGGACTGAAACGTCTGAAGCCTCTTGGGTTTAGGGTTTAGGGTTTAGGGTTTAGGGTTCAGGGTTTAGGGTTTAGGGTTCCCTTAGGGCTTACAGCAGTTCATTGTGGGGTTTTAAGCGCTTTGAGGGGTTATAGGGATAGGGAACAGCCATACCGAAGAAAAAGCTTCTGCAAACATAGCTCAAGCTGCAGCCCCCCCCCCCCCCCCCCCCCCCCGGATAGTCACAACTCTTCAAGAAAAACAGCTCATGTGGAACAGCCCCCATTTGCTGTTGCTGGGGTGACCCTCTACACCGCACCCCACTGGCGCCTCGAGCCAGAACTCTGCGGGCCAGCTCAGAGTATGGACCTCCACAAAGCAAACAGTGAACAACGGCCGACCGAGACCTCCAATGGTAGCTCGTCAAAATTTGGGCGCGCTCGCCGGATGGATCCGGATGGTATGATAAGGTGGGGCTTATGGTTTGTAGCAGCTCCCCAGAGACTCCAAAACCCCTTAATTAAGGAATGTACCTTAAATCATATTAGGGTTCCTATTATAATTTAAGGTATATTCCTTAATTAAGGGGTTTTGGAGTCTCTGGGTCAAGGATGGGTCTGAGAGCTGAGAGGAACCGCAGGGGTGTTGAAATGGCTCTTCTGCAATCTGTAGCATGACCTGGGTTGGCGGTACTACTAGTCGGGCCTTGTGTTAGCTGTACTTTACTTCGGTTGTAGGGAGACTTTTTTCCCGGGGCCTAAAACAAATCATGACCTGGCCTCCCGCAAGACGCGCAAAATCCGCAGCACGCCGGCTAGATGGACCGACCTGGGTGCCAAAACTATGAATCAACAAACGGATTTGACACGCTCTTGTTCTCTGGATCAAAACCTGAGCTCATGAAACCTAAAAGCGACAAGATTGTACTTTACCCCTACACCTTGGGATGTTCCCCCTTATACTAACAGTCCTTGCTAGGGACTCTAATACGGGTACTACATTCCCTATAGGGGACTGTTCGTACAAGGGGTAACAACCCAACCTACACCCTAAGCTAACGAGCTGATGGAACTGCAACCCGAGCTCTCCACGTCCTCTCTAGAGAGCCCACGGCATGTTCCCTAAATCCTGCGGTTTAGGGTTGAGGGTTTAGGAAGCCACAATCATAACCACGTTCGCAATGGTTCATGACGAATAGCGAGAACGGCGAGCTACCAGCGGCACCTCCGGGCATACAAGCGCGACAAGATCCTTCCCCCAAAGGCGAACCACGCACCCAAGCACCCTTATGCAGAGAAACCCGCAGAAACTGCGACGAAGGAATGAGACAGGCGAACGCCGATCCCAGGACGACGTGCAGTCGCCCAACCTGGCAACCTGATCCCTATAAGCCTGAGTGGCTGAACCTTGGCACCTTTAGGGTTTAGGGTTTAGGGTTTAGGGTTTAGGGTTTAGGGTTTAGGGTTTAGGGTTTAGGGTTGGTGTCACCCCACCCCCCCCCACCTCCACAGAATTGCAGGTGGCTTCCTGTTTTCGATCCCCTTTTTACAACATTTGACTCCATTCACATGTACATACACATGCTTAAATGAGTGCAACAACAACTACAAGCACACAAAGCATAAAACCCAAAACCCAAAAACAGGAAACCCGAAACCCTCAACCCCAAAGCCCCAAAGCCCCGACTTCTGGGAAGCTGGCGGCCGGCCCAGGAAGACCAGCCCAGGAGCCCCAGTAGATCGCTCAGCAGCCTGCTCTCAGGGGTCACATCGGGGGATTTTAGGGGTTTTTGGGTTTCAGGGCGGGGCTCGTACGCCTGCTTTTCCAGGGCTCGGTACGGCTTCTGCAAGGGTTTAGGGTTTAGGGTTTAGGGTTTAGGGTTTGGGGTTTGGGGTTTTGTTTTTGGGGTTTGGGGTTTACGGGATTGTTTCAAAGTCGCTCCAAGTACAAACCCCTGTTGGGAGGTGCTTGAAGGTGACACATGGGCATCCAACAATTTGTGATTATCGCCGCCTCGCTCTCAATCAAAACCAAGCCTCGAATCACACATGCACACATGTACTCATGCAGCATCTTACTTGCAGGTGGACTCCAATCCGCAACAGCGTGTTTAGGGTTTAGGGTTTAGGGTTTAGGGTTTAGGGTTTAGATCAAAACCCAAGGTTGCGCCGAAGCTTACGGACGAAGCCCTCATGGTTTTCCTGACCAGTATCCCTCCCTGGCACCCCATGTTCCTAAGCACACTCACCGATACACCGCGTAGACACAAGACCTTCCAAAACCCCTGCATAAACCCAGTGTCAGATGCATGCTACTTTCGGTTCTGGCTCATACTAACAACCACAACCACACCAACAGCATGCTTTCTTTCACCAGCGACAGCCTACAACGTCCCCAGTACAGACCGTTGCACACCCCATTTAGGCAAAGAGGCAACGACAGGCTTCTGTACTCAAGCACTTTTCCCCACACGCATGCGCACATGCAGGGACGGGTCATGTTCGAGTCGGCAACTTGGCCCATTGAGGGCAGACAAGAAGCCCAGCTTTGTATGCCACTGTGTGTTTGGGAACACAAACGTGTGAACTAAATTATTCAGCTGCGTTGGTGAAGGAAGCTCCCACCCCCTCATCAGGTGCTACAGCCCCCGGAAGGTCAATTTCATGTGACTCCCTGGGCTGTCGGCCCGGGCCATGGAACTTCGGCGATGGCCCCATGTGAGCTTGTGTTGGGGCTACTGCCTCCAAGTGAACCTCCTCCATGCATCCGGACGACCATAGTGAAACGTCTTTCTCTACATAGCGATAGCCCTTGTGCTCGAGCCAGGCCACTTCGGCTTTTTGAGAGTTTCCTAAGCCCTCGGCAGCTAGAAGAAACTTGCGCTCTTCTTCCGGCAGCCATGCAAGAAACAGCCGATCCACTTCGCGGCTGTATGCTGATGAGCTGTCCCCACGTTGCCGCTTGGAGAGACCCCCAAGACCAGCCTTCAGCGCAGCCTTGAAGTCATCCGTCTCTTTGAACTCAGCCCGTCGACTGTTCAGCTCTTCCCTTCGAAGATGCTCCTGGCCTGCAGCGGCAAAGCTCTCAACCTTGCCCATGCCGACATGATCCACAAAGTAGTAGACTTCAAGCTCTGCTCCGTAACTCACGGCCTCTTCGATGTTTGCAATCCAGTGGCTCCACCATCGGCATCCCCACGGCTTCTCTTCGCCGTACAGCGGCACACACCAGCACGTGCCATTTAGGCCCTCATGCTCGGGTATCTGGTCGTGCTTCCCGAAGTTCTCAGTGCCGTCCGGCAAGAACACAACTGCGGCGCTCACGTCCCCTTCGCGGCTCGCGGAGACCAGCGAAGCCCATGCACCCTCGTATGTTCCAGGCCAGGAGCACACGCATGGGCGTCCTAGCCCTTCCAGCACTGAGCCTTCAAAGACGATAGTGCGTTGGAGAACCTCCTTGCGCGCCTGGTGGCGCTCGTCATTGAGAATCTCTGCCTCCTGAGTCGTCAGTTCCTCAAAACCCGCACTCTCTGCGCGCCAGAATAGGTAGCAGCTGGGGGGCCATGTAATAAACGCCGTCCATATCCATCCCAAATCCGCTATCAAAAAGGCGCCCGTCTGAAGGCCCATTGCCGTGTACCCAGAGAACGCGGACATTATCTTGACCAAGGGCACAATGCTCGCGTGGCTGCCGTAACGAAACTCGCTGGCGCTGGAATTTTCTCCACCGCCATGAAAGTCCCGCTGAACCAGGCACATGAGCATGGCGCCAGCGAACATGGCGCCAGTGCTTAGAAAAGCAGCGTCTGCAGCTGTGATATCTTCTCGTAGTGCCATGGTGTAAACCGCACAAACCCACAGTATTACAGAAAGGAGCACTGGGATTGCGGCAACACATGGAATGCAACGCAGCTTTCGGTTCCTAAGGGCTGCTGCGGCTTTCCACGTTTCGGCCTCCTGGCAATCTTGCACCTCCTCCTGCCGGCGCTTCTCCTGGGCTGCCGCCTCCAGCTCTTGCCGATCACGCTGAACAGCCTCAGTGCTGAAGGAGCCGAAGTCCTCGGAGCATCGCAGGCACCGCAGGGAGCTTACCGGGGAGCGGCCAAGAATGTGCGGGGCCTCCCGCAGTCGCAGCGCGGCCTCCTGGCCGGTGAGCGGCAGGCTCCGGCCAGGGTAAAGCACCTGCCAGCCGGTGCCCTGCTGGACTTCGACGGCTGCCTGCAAATCGTTCGTGACCGCGGCCTCAGGATGGGCAGCCATGGCCTTCGGAATGATGTCGGGGCTTTTAAACTGACTACGCAGATCATTTCGAGGTAGCCATCCTACAGGCTTGATTTGTGTCAGGAACCTTGGGAGCTTCTACAGCAGGCACGGAGACAGAGAGCTTCTGATAACTTTCCCCGGCTTCAAAAAAAACGAAGGCCACATCCAAGGCAGATTGGGAGCCGGGGTAGGGTGTCAGGGTGTCTACTTTCTGCACGGAATCTTACATCCCCAGCAGTTGCCCATCAACCCTAAACCCTAAACCCTAAACCCTAAACCCTCAAATTTGGAGCTGCCTAAACACACAGGACACTTCGCCCTCCTTGGAGATTACATGATACAATGTAGATCACGGCATCGGGTTTAGGGTTTAGGGTTTAGGGTTTAGGGTTTAGGGTTTAGGGTTTAGGGTTCAGGGAATCTGGAGGCTTCAGGTTTAGGCTGAGCCCCCAGAATCCCGACTGTGAGGGAAGCTATATTGGGGGGGAGGGGGGGGGCGGCGTTTAGGGTTTAGGGTTTAGGGCCGGAAGCTTAGGGTTCAGGGTTTAGGGTTTAGGGTTTAGGGTTTAGGGTTTAGGGTTTAGGGTTTAGGGTTTAGGGTTTAGGGTTTAGGGTTTGGGGTTTAGGGTTTGGGGTTTAGGGTTTAGGGTTTAGGGAGGAGTTACGCCAATCACAAGGCCACAGTACCCAAGGGCCCCATAGAGGCGGCCCAAGGATGCTCCAACACCCTTATGGTTTAGGGTTTAGGGTTTAGGGTTTAGGGTTTAGGGGTTAGGGGTTAGGGGTTAGGGGTTTAAGGTTTAGGGTTTGGGGGTTTAGGGGCCTAAATCTGGGCTCTGGGGTTCCAACTTGCTGTTTGACATCCTGAAAGACACCGCCGCCACTTGAACACACAACCACACAGACACCGATCAAATATATACACAGATAAGGGGTCCCGACTTACTCGGGTTCGCGTAAAATATGTTGGGAAAGAACCCATACATTCCTGCAAAGAGCCATGTGCGAGCTGGCCTCGACGTGGTCTTTCACGATTTGAAGCTGCAGAAACTGCCTGGCCGTACTAAACCCCAAACCCCAAACCCTAAGCCCTAAACCCTAAACACTAAACCCTAAATCCTAAACCCTAAACCCGGAATGACCCCAAGCCCTAAAACCCAAAGCCCACTGCATGTCCATCAGCAGGAACTTCAACCCTACTTTGGAGTAGACCCTGGGAAGCAAGCAGTAGCTATAAAAGGAACCCAGAAACCCCTAAACCCCTAAGCCCCTAAGCCTCTAAACCCCTAAGCCCCTAAACCCCTAAACCCCTAAGCCCCTAAACCCCTAAACCCCTAAGCCCCTAAACCCCTAAGCCCCTAAGCCCCTAAGCCCCTAAGCCCCTAAGCCCCTAAACCCCTACACCCCTAAACCCCTAAACCAATGTATTAAAGTATAGTACTCCAAAACCCAGTTAAGGCCTCCATCCATCCACCGAATCCACGCTTCCCCACGCTGCTTGGAGCTCGCGATAGCCTTACACCGTGGGCATCGGCGAGCACAAGCAGAAAAAGCAACCCTAAACCCTAAACCCTAAACCCCTAAACCCCTAAACCCCTAAACCCCTAAACCCTTAACCCTAAACCCTAAACCCCTAAACCCTAAACCCTAAACCCTAAGACTCGCGTCAAGCATCAGTAAAGTCGATCTATAGAATAACCTCAGGAAAAACAACTGACCTATATACACCCCAAGAAACTCTCTACACCCAATTATTTTGGGTATATTTCCTCTTTTACTAAATACACAGGGCATTGTTTCAAACCCTTATAAATCGCACCGAGGCGCGCGGGCTGCGTCTCCGCCAATCTTGCGACATTTGCTTGAAGTGCTGCATGCTTTTGCCCAGCACGCCTGGAGGTTCGAACTTAGGAAAACGAACCCGTTCACAATGGGAGCCCCTTTTACTGTATCGGAATAACCACCAAACAAAAACAAGAGGTCTTAATCTGGGAGCCAAACCCCAGTGAGGGAGTGTGGCTTCAGGTTTTCCTCGTGACCGTCTCAACTAGTGCATAGTCTTGGTGGAGGCCATTCCCAGAAACAAATATGAACATGTGGATAAATATTGAGAAATATCACCGCCTTCCTGCGTGCGATGAGCCTCCCAAAAGCTTCGCCATATAGACATAACCATGGCATACACAGAGCCTCCATGATGCTCGCTGCATCTCTGCTTGCTGTCCTCGCACATTGCATTTTTAAAGTGTTTTAAGTACCTTTTAAAGGGGTTAAAGGGTTTTAAGGGTTTGAGTAACGTTTTCAAAGGGCTTACAGGGTCTAAGGGCTTAAACGGGTCTAAAGGGTAAAGGGTTTCGGGCCAGTTTCCCTAAACCCTAAACCCTAAACCCTAAACCCTGTAGGAACCCTAAACCGGCTGCTGGCATGCCGACAGTGGGTCCGTCTCGTCCGCCCGACGGACAGCATCAGCGGCGCCAGCAAAGTCGCCAAGACCTGGCAAAGACCCAGAGGCTCCAAAAGCCCTTAATCTAAATCATATTAGGGTTCCGATTATAATTTAAGGTATATTCCTTCGAGCAGGTGCCTGGCACAGTTTACGATATTAGGGGGGCACCTTCTTGGGGTCCTTAAAAAAATCCTACTATTTGGGAGTCGATATTCGGGTCCCTCATTGCGCAAACCCCGATGTAGCAAATAGTGACATAAGAATGACATGTGGATAGTACTGAAAGCAATGACAAGAACAATCTCTGAGCACCTGGATCCTAAAGCGGGTCGAAAGCAGGTCGGTACTCAGGCTCGGGCTTACCAGCGCGCTTGCTTCTCCGCCTCAAGTGAGATGGAGAGCTTACCGACTGGTAACCTTCGCGCCTTAAACAAGATGCCTTGTTGCGTAGTCCATGCCACTTTTCTAAGGGCACGTAAGTTCCGGATGATGTGGGTCAGATAGGAACCGAATCACTACCCTCTACCTTAACCCCTCAACCCCTCAAGTATCCCTGTGGCTTCACAGTAATCTAAAAAATTTTTGGTGGTAGTTCTTAAAGGGTACTCAACCCCAGAACCTCCGCTTGATCGAGACTAAACACCCTAACCTAAACCCGAAAGCCCTAAACTCTATAAACCCTCTAAACCCTGAACCTAACCCCAAACCCCAAACCCTAAACCCTGAACATCCCTAAACCCTACACCTTGAACCCTAAACCGAGGGAAGCAGCTCCTCAGGGCCCGGCAAAGGGTAGTCCCGGTTGGAGACGCGCCCTCCAACTCCCCAGCGCGCCGGAACGAGACGAGAGCCTAAGGGTGTTTCGGGCTGAGGGCTTAGGGGTTTTAGGGGGTTTAGGGGGTTTAGGGTTTAGGGTTTGGGGGTTTAGGGTTTAGGCTGCGTGTAGGAGTGCAGAGCAGGCGAAGAGGGCAGGCAACCACATGAAGAACCAACCCTTGTCGTGTAGAAGTTTACAGTCCAATCCTTGCCGAGCAGCCGGAATGACGTAGGGCTGTCCACCCACCACAACCCCGAACCCTAAACCCTAAACCCTAAAACCCTCAACCCTAGACCCTAACCCCTAAACCCCAAACCCTAAACCCTAAGCCATCCCAGGTTTTCTCTTCTCCTTAACCTCTCAGGCTCTTGCACCCTAGACTCTGAACCCCTAAGCCCTCTAACCTTACGACCATAGACCTTCTACCCTAGACCTGGCATCCTCAGGAACAACGAGGCTGGCTGGTTCTTCGTAGGGAATGAGGGAAAGAGGTACCCGATACAATCCCTTAAAGGGCACCATATAGGGCGCTACTTCCCTCATTCCCTAACCCTAAACCCGAAACCCTAAACCCTAAACCCTAAACCCTACTAAGAACCAGAAAAAGGGAGGGGGGGGGGGGGGGGGGGGGGGGGGGGGGGGCGGGCCTCCCGGCTCATCCCGGACTTCAGCCTGCCAGGGACTTGCAAGCAGTATGCAAGGAGACGGACCCCTCGGGTTTAGGGGTTTGAGTGCATGTTAGGGCGAATAGAGCATGTAGGGTGTCTTGTCGGGTTTCTAGGGTTTATAGGGGTAGAGGGCCTACCTGGGCCTTATAAGGCGGATCTGATTTAGGACTGCAAGATTTGCAAATGGTGCCTAACCTAGGCTACTATGGGCTGTCATGTTGGCATTCACCATCACTCTTCAGGCCTCGACACTGCACGAGCAGTTGCAACAACTTGGGGCAGAGAGTAGGGCAGCTGTGTGCACAACGTTTCCAAGTCAGTCATAATAGCATGCTTGCAGTGTGATCATTCTTGCCCTGTCTCCACCTGCACAGTTACCTTCATGAGTGGAGCAATCCGTGCCCCTAAACCCTAAACCCTAAACCCTTCACCCCGAACCTGAACCCTAAAATCCAAACCCTAAATCCCAAACCCTTTCCCCTTGGGTAAGCCGCATGACGAGCCCTAAGTCCCAGTGGGCGCCTCGCGAAGGCCAAGAAGCCTGGCACACGGCGGCAAGTCCGAGACTGACACTCGGAAACCGAAAACCGGAGTTTAGGGTTTAGGTTTAGGGTTATTCTGAAGTGGAATCCGTTTAGTCGCCACGTGTCTCGCTTCGTGACAGTCCGCATGACTGATTGCATAAACCCTAAACCCTATAGACCCTAAACCCCTGAGGCCTGCCGCCTTAGGAGACAAAGGCGTCAACTCCGCCGCCTTCTGGAAGTAGATCTCCTGGCCGGCTTGGGGTCTGTTTGAAGGGTTTAGGGTTTAGGGTTTAGGGTTTACGGGTTTAGGGTTTACGGGTTTAAGGCTTCAGGGGTTTGAGGATTTAATTGGGGATCGGGGTTTAGGGGTGCGCAAGGTTTAGGGGTTCAGGGGGGTAGGGGTTTTGGCTTTTGAGGCGAGAAGGGTTTAAGCGGGCTCAGGATTCTTGAGAGAGTTTAGAACCTCAAGGCCTCAGAGCCTTTTCTTTCAATAAGGGCTCAAGCGTTTAGGAGCTTACGGGTTTTCAGGGACTCTAAACCCTAAACCCTAAACCCTAAACCCCAAACCCTAGGGCCGAAAGGTTCAACCGTTTAAGGGGCCAGTTTTTTTGTGAGGGCGTTAGTTGGATGCAAGGGGTTGCAAGGCCATCACCAACCTGGCAACCTGCGCTTTCAGCTCTTCAGAAACGGATGGCAACCCTGCACATCATTACATGTGTGTGTATATATATATATATGCAACACATATATGCAACACATAATTCCATGTGTGTGTATATATATATATATGAAACACATATATGTTTACATCGTAAACTTACATGCACAACACACCCTGCAGAATCCCAATATACCTCAGTCAGTACCGCCTCCGAAACCTTAAACCCACACTTTTCTTGGGACCCACTGAAGCCCAACAAAAACGGGTTTATGGTCGGGATGCCGTCATTGGGGTTGATAGTTCCTAGTTCCCCCCGTACTATAATCCCCATTAAGGCCTGTTAGTATAAGGGGGAACATCAACAGGCACATGACCCCCACCCCCCCCCACCCCAAGTTTAGGGGCTCCTTGACTAGGCTCAGGAGCAACCTAGGAAAAAAGGGTACCCTTTGTGGTTTAAAGGGGTTCAGAAGGGAACCTATGCCCGAAGAAAAGGACATAAGGGCCTAATCTGGGTCATAGTAGCCCTAAACCCTAAACCCTAAACCCTAAAAAGTGGGAATAAGGGCCTACCCTGTGCCCTAGTTGAAATCCCCAAAAGATGCTCAACATCCCCATCCTCCCCAGGCCCTGGCTGAAAAAAGGTTACAGGATGGTTTGAGGGGGGTTTTGGGCTCATGGTCAGGGCCTGGCCCTAAACCCTAAACCCTAAACCCTGAACCCTAAACCCCAAACCCTAAACCTACACACCAGACTGGCCGCTCCGCCAGAGCCGGCGAAGCAGCTTCGCCCATCAGTCTGAAAGCCTTCAGGCAGGGTGGGTGGGGGGGGGAGGCGGGTTGAGGGGGTTTGGGGGGTTTAGGGTGTCAGGGCTTGCGGATTTTAGGGTTTTAGGTGTTTTACGGTTTGGGGTTTTAGGTTTTGGGGTTTTGGGGTTTAGGGGTTGAGGGTCTGGGCTTTAGAGTTTTAAAGGTTTTGGGCTGTTTGGGGACTTTAGTGTTGTAGGGTTTTGTGGTTTTAGGGCTTTAAGGTTTAAGGTTTTAGGGTTCAGGTTTCTTACATCGTAGGGGGTACCGGGAGTACCCTATTTTAGGGGATTCGGGTTTAGGGTCAGGGCTCATGAAGTAGTTTCCATAAAGAAGTTACTATTCGTTTTAAGTTTGGACACATACCCTGTTGAAGGTTTAGGTTGAAACCTAGTCCAAAACCTTACATGTTCCCTCGCCGTTTCAGCATTTCTCACACCCAATTCTTTAAAGAAATTAACGTTTCTTGGGGGTATATCGGTGTGTATATATCTCTATATATATATATATTTGTAGTTATATAGAGGCTACTCTATGGGGAAGGAGCAACGGTACGTAGCGGATGCTGGCATCAAGCACCTGGGCCTTCGGGACATGGAGGTTCTGAGTCTCCGAAGCCCTGAACAACAAACAGCCCGAAAAGAATCCAAAACCCTTAAGCCCGAAAACTCTAACAGCCTAGTCATCACCAAACCCTAGTAAGGGCATTTCCTTGAAGTACCCCTTGTATGCCCCCCAAATTACTCTAATCCTTCGAGCCCTAAACCTTGGAATGTTCCCCCGCCTACCCGTATACTAACAGTCCTTAATAGGGATTCTCGTACCCCTTATAATCCCTATTAAGGACTGCTAGTATAGGGGGGAACGTCCCAACCTCAACCCTTAGTTTGGGAAAATCGGAACCACCCACAAAGCCGTGGCAGACGACAGGATCCTCGCCCTCCCCCCCCCCCCCTTCCCCGCAACTACGCGAGGGCTCAGGCACCCCCCCCCAACCGCCCACCCCCCACCCGGCCTTGTCGGACAAACAAGCCACAAACTTCCTCAGCCGAAGCGTTCGCTAGAGAATTGCTTAGGATTCAGGGCGTAGGGTTTGGGGAGCTACGTACCCTTGACTGAGGAAGAAGGACTCGGCAAAAAATAGACTCCTTGGTTTCAGTTGTGCACAGGTTGCTCTAAGTACTGGTGCGAAACTGACAGGCAGAAGGCCTGAGATCCTTGGGGACTACACAAGCTATAAAACGGTTTATGGACCATATGACCTAATCATCGGAAATACTGTCAGGATAAGTACAGGGTATGGTGACCCGAATCTTGGGATTCGATTCCGTTTTCAGGGGCTTGAAGGTTTAGGGGTTTAACGCTTGAGACTTTGCAAGGCGAGAACGGGTAGACGGTAGCATCAAGGAGGTCCAAAATCTACGAGGTGGATCTCCCTGAGTTGTCAGCATGGATCGTGCCTTCTTCGTATCGATTCAGCTGCTTCTGCAGGTTTTGGAGCGTAGACACGGGTCATTGACTGACAGGGAGGTGTCGGTCTCTTCTGGGTTTAGGGTTTAGGGTTTTCGGGTTTTGGGGTGTAGGGTTTAGGGGCATAACAGGGCATGACGGTTCGTGGGCAGCTCCTTGCTTGAATTTTCTCGCAGGTGTCGGGCAGGCAGCTGTACAACCCGCTCGAAGCGCCTTCCAGACCCGTCGAACAGACCGGAGCCCGAAGCTGGCATACACGGGTGGGCCACAACTTGTGGCCCCCCGCAGAGTCGGAGGAAACTTTTAGGGTTTGGGGTTATAGGGGTTGAGGGTTATATATATATATATATATATATTTATAATACATACATATACATATATATATATCAATAAATATTATTTTATATAATATTATATATGTATATAGGGTTAGGGTTATAGGGTTATAGGGTTACAGGGCTTAGGGGCCTCGATAGGGGTAGACTAGGCTGGACGACATGGCATGCTTCCTGGGCTTCGGACTCAGGGTGTGCAGGGTCGAGGCTGCATGTTGAGTCATTCAAAGTGTCCACAACCTTCCAGAACCTTGGGGACCAAATGAACCTTACAGTTGGGCCATACACCCTTCGGAAATAGAATCCCATATACTTAATTACAACCCTAAACCCTAAACCCTAAACCCTAGGGTTCATGTAGTCCCCTAGGAATCCTGGAAACCTACACTACCCTCCGTCCCAACGACCACGCCCTAGGCGTGCCGCAGAAAGTCCAGGCACCAGCACTTCACCTGCACCATTGTTCCGTGGTACTATGTTAAAAAGTGATCATTGTTCTACCTTCTTGGGTTTTAAGTATTCATAAACATGTATACCCTAAACCCAAAACCCAAAACCCTAAACCATAAGCCCAACAAAATGCTGTTCAACAACGACGCGGTCACTGGTGGCAGGTCCAGAGGGTCGAGGTTCATCCTCTCTCCGCAGGAGCCCGCGTTGGCCACCTTCCGGCTTGGCTGGTTCGTATAGTAGGGAATGCGGGAATGAGGTACCCTATATACTCCTTTCAAGGGTTTAGGGTTTAGGGTTTAGGGTTTAGGGTTTAGGGCTAGGGTTTAGGGTTTAGGGTTTAGGGTTTAGGGTTTAGGGTTTAGGGTTTAGGGTTTAGGGTTTAGGGTTTAGGGTTTAGGGTTTAGGGTTTAGGGTTTAGGGTTTAGGGTTTAGCGTTTAGGGTTTAGGGTTTAGGGTTTAGGGCTGCAGGGAGCCCGCGTTGACCACCTCCAGTCGGCCATCCGACGACCGGATCCTTGGCTGTCTCTCTACTCGGGTTTAGGGTTTAGGGTTTAGGGTTTAGGGCTTAGGGTTTAGGGGTTGAGGGTTGAGGGTTTCGGGGGGGGGGGGGGGGGGGGTAACTACATTGAACCCTACTTGGAGGTTCATGGGTAGTTACAAGTAGGGTTATACTTCTGGTAGCTACACTTATAGCCCTATTTAGGGTCCGTGTAACCTTCCCTAAGGGTCCATGTACCTCCTTATTATATACCTGGGCCCCAAAGTCCCGATGTAGGAAGTACTTTAAGGCTCAAGTATCCCCTATTTAGGTACATGGGGACCCCTGACGGTCTTCTGGTCCATGTACCCGACTTGGGATGGTGTAGTATAGGACACATGTGATCTCAATTTGAGGGTTCACGTCGTGCCGAAGATCCTGTGCCCTTTTCGAGATCAGCAAGAAGTGGTACGACCAGCTCTTGAGGGGGCGGCCCTCTAGAAACTCTGCAGGCCCATGTGGTATAAGCGGTTTCCCGCATGAACTAACCACGTGCACCGTCAAGGAGCAGCATCACCGGAGAGTCCGGAATCTCAGACACCTCCCTGGCACGTGAGGATCCTGGGCAGGCTCCATGGTTGCAATATGCCTCCGGAAGCCCTAAACCCTAAACCCTAAACTTCGTCAAGAGGTTAGGGCTTCGGGCTTGGGGGCCTTTGAAGTTAAGCCTTGGGATGTTCCCCCATGAACAAGCAGGACAAAATAGGGATAAACGTCCCCCTATTGTCATCCCCATTAAGGAGGGTTCGTATCAGGGGGAACATCCCAACTGCTACCCGAATACGAGTTACCCATCAGGCCTAGCAGGCACTCACAAACAGTGCATCAGACAGAGGAGGATGAGCAACACGTCACCAGCTCCCGAAGCCCCGGAAAGCCGACAACACGCCTGACACCATCTACTAATATTCGTAGTATTCATTTTTACTAAGTAGTATCATATACAAATGTCCCCCAGAAAAAGACTTTCTTCCCGGACAGCGTTTTTGCCGCAACTCTCGCCGAGAGAGGCGGTGCTTGCTTAGAGTTGTACATCCCTGTGAAGGACGGTTTAGTATAAGGGGAAACATCCCTAAACCCTAAACCCTAAACCCGTTATGCCAGACAATCGCCCTCTCGTCCCGGCCGCCTTCGGTGGCCGATAATGGCTCGGTATCACAAGAATGTGGCAGGCTTGGCTGGCTTCGCTTCGATTTGTGTTCGTCATTATCTGATGTTTCAGTAGACTCTTTATGATATTAAGTTAGGAAGTTAGAGTGTATGTGATACATACGCTGTGTACCCTTGTTGGTGTCTTCGCTTATTAGACGGGCTTGTTTTGCTTATTGGTGCATCATCGCTTACTCTGTGTGATGGCTTTGCCTTTTGGTGCGTCTTCGCTTGCTCTGCAGCAGTTGCAAACATGCGTTCATAGAGGTCGCGATCTACAACAAACAGGAGATACCATCACGTGTATTTGCCTAAACCTCATAAACCCTATAAACCCTATAAACCCTATAAACCCTATAAATTCTATAAATACGATAAACCCATAAACCTTATAAACCCTATAAACCCTATAAACCCTATAAATCCCAGAACCCTAAACCCTGCACCGACCCAAGATCTGAACTGCCCTCGCGCAGACCACGATCCAGGTCCCCGGAGCTCCACCAAAAAGAGCGGTTTAGGGTTTAGGGTTGAGGGTTTAGGGTAAAAGGGTACCACTCGGGATGTTCCCCCTTACACTTACAGTCCTTGATAGGGATTCTAGTAGCCCCTGTTATAATTCCTAACAAGGGGTGCTGTTAGTATAAGGGGGGACATCCAAGTGGTACCACTGGGCTACCCTAAACCCTAAACCCTAAACCCCAAACCCTAAACCCTAAACCCCATAAACCCTACCCCAAACCAAGCCGAGGTTCCGGGACCCAAAGCGCGCTTGGAGCAGTAGCTCCGAGACTGGATCTTGCTGCGGCTTCTCTCGAGCATGAGCTCGGCCACCTGTGAACAAAATGGGGGTTTAGGGTTTAGGGTTTAGGGTTTAGGGTTTAGTAGGGTTTAGGGGTTTAGGGTTTAGGGGTTTAGGGTTTAGGGTTTGTAAACCCTGAACCTCGGGATGTGCCCCCTTCTACTCACAGTCCTTAAGAGGGATTCTAGTACCCCCCCCCCCTATTACTATAGTCCCTGCTGAGGACTGCTAGTATAACGGGGAACATCCCAAGACCCCGAAACCCCACATCCCCCGAAACCCTAGGGATTTAGGGCTCGGAGGCGTTTTGAGGCGGGCTTCTACAGTGCTTCAGGGTTCCAAGGGGCTTTAGGGTTTAGGG